ATAAAGTAAAACCTAAATCCAAGGAAAAGCTTTGGGTGTAATGGTTAAGATGCCACTTGGAAGACCTGTATCCTGTGCCAGGGTACCTGGGCTTGAATTCTGGGTCTCCTCCAAATTCCAGCTCCTTACTAATGCAGACCCTGAGAGGCAACAGGAGACAATCCAAGTAGTTGGGTCTACACCATCCATGTGAGAGACTGAAATGAGTTCCTAAGTTCTGGCTTCAGCCTGGCACAGTCTGTTGGCTGTTGTAGGCATCTGGCTAATGAACCAATGGATAGGATCTCTCTCTCTCTCTCTCTCTCTCTCTCTGTGTGTGTGTGTGTGTGTTTCAAATGAAATTAATTGATCAATTGAATTAATAATAAAGATAAAATCAATATAAAATCTCACTCCAGTACACATTTAGTCATTACTCCAGGGCACATATACCTAACTACTTGGTCCGTCCATTTCATAGTCTGTGAAACAGCATGCTAACATAGGACTTAGAAACATTCCTGAGGGTAAAGTTGTATGTGAAGCGCCTCTCACAGATTCTTACAGAGTGGCTATTTATGAAATCTTATTTGCCCATAAACAACCTTTCCATAATTACATAAATGTAATGACAGAAACACTACTTCTGAATTTGATGCTGGAGCTTATTTTACGATCACCGGTGATAAAGGCAATGCTGGTAGCAAGAGGAATTTTTACGTTTTTCCATCACTATCAATAGTATTATATTTTATTTGCCAATTCTTTTGTTTGCTCCCTAGCTCAGTTTTACCTTCTTACAGGTGTCTATCATCTCCATGGTTTTGCCCCAACACAAGTATTAAGAGGAGGTGGAAAGAAAGCTGGCAGACATGTCTCTAGGTAAATACAAAAAACACATGCTCCTAAAACAAAATCCAGTTGCCATGAAGTAAATATTTTCAGCAAATCAACGTATTTGAAGCTGTGACATTTGTTACCTCAAAAACCAACCTTTTAGCTCTTTATTCATATTACCAAACCACTCTGCAACGAACATTTTAATCATAACCTTTATCTTCAAAGACTGGAGAAGAGTCAAATATAAAGAGGGTGGAAGGAAAATCTTTGTGTGTGTGCTTTGGTTCAAAAAATGTTATTCTACTTTGACACATCAAACCGGATTCATCAATTCATGCTGCTTTATTCAGCAAAAGCATATAGCTCCCATTCTACAAATGAAACTGTTTAATTAAAAAAGTAGTCTTGCTATTAAGATGCTTGTACATGAAAGACTACTCTGAGTAACATATATTAACAACATGTGATAATAGAGCTTGCCAGTGATTGTCATGGACACTTTATATTTTAGAGGGAAAGAAAACATTTACATTATAATGTTTAAAACTAGGGGTCATTGTTGTAGCAAAGCAAGTTAAGCTGCTGCCTGTGAAACCAGCATCCTAAATGAGTTCCATTTTGTGCTATGGCAGTTCCACTGCTGATCCAGCTCCCTGCTAATGTACCAAGGAAAGCAGTGGAGGATGCTTGCCATCATGTGGGAGATCTGGAAGAAGCTCCGGGTTCCTGGCATCAACCCAGTCCAGCCCCAGCTGTTGAAGTCAAATGTGCAGTGGACCAATGAATATAAAATCTCTCTTTCTCTCTCTCTGTCAGTAACTCAGCCTTTCAAGTAAATAAGTAAATATTTAAAAAATTAAATTGTTGTGTTAACTTAAATACTTTAAAACATAAATCTAGATATAAACTCCCCATATAATAAAAATCCATGAATTAAATATTATCAAAAAGAATGTGAGATATATTCCTAATTTTGAGAGAAAAAAAACTGTCAACACAGAATACTGTACCCTGCAAAGCTCTCATTTATGAGTGAAGGTGAAATAAACACCTTCCATAACAAACAAATTGAAAGAATATGTCACCACTTGTCTAGCCTCGTAAAAGATGCTAAAGGATGTGCTACATACAGAAACACAGAAACATGGTGACCATGAAAGAAGGTGAAGGCAGAAAATCTCCCAGTAGAAATACAAAGGAAATCTAAAGTAACAATAGGAATATTTATGGAAAAATAGCAGGCCAGGGTTATTTATCAATAGTCACCTTGAATGTAAATGGTTTAAACCCTCCAGTTAAAAGATACAGATTGGCTGAATGGATTAAAAAACAAGACCCATAAAGCAAATCTTAACAAATTCAAAAAAATTGAGATCATACCATGCATCTTCTCAAATCACAATGGAATGAAGCTGGAAATCAACAATTCAAGAATCTGTAGAACATATGCAAGCATATGGAGACGGAACAAGATGTTCCTGAATGAACAGTGGGTCATAGAAGAAATCAAAAGAGAAATAAAAAATTTCTGGAAACAAATGAAGACTACAACATATCAAAACTTATGGGATATAGCAAAAGTAATATTAAGCAGAAAGTTTATAGCAATTAGTACCTACATGAAGAAATTGGAAAGGTACCAATAAAATGAGGTATCAATGCATCAAGAAAAACAACAGCAGATTAAACCCAATATTAGTAGGAGAAAAGAAATAATTAAAATTAGAGATGCAATAAACAAAAATTGAAACAAAAATCACAAAAGATCAGTGAAACAAAGAGCTAGTTTTTTGGATAATTAAACAAAATTGACATACTATTGGTCCAACTAACCAAAAAAGAGGGAGAAGACTCAAATCAATAAAACTAGAGATGAAAAAGGTAATGTAACAACAGATAGCACAGTAATAAAAAGAATCATCAGAAATTACAATGCGGAGCTGTATGGCAATAAATCAGGAAACCTAGAAGAAATGGATAATTTCCTGGACACATACAGCCTACCTAAACTGAGCCATGAAGACATAGTAAACCTAAAAAGATCAATAACCAAGACAGAAATTCAATCAATAATATAGACCCTCCCAAGAAAAAAGCCAACTACTGGCACAAAAACAGACTTGTAGATCAATGGAACAGAATAGAAACTCCAGAAGAACTAAGTCCAATTCTTCTGAAGCCATTCAAAACAATTGAAACCAAAGGAATCCTCCCAAACTCCTTCTATGAATCCAGCATCACCTTAATTCCTAAACCGGAAAAAGATACAACAGAGAAAGAAAACTATAGACCAATTTCCTTGATGAACATAGATGCAAAAATTCTCACCAAAATACTAGCCAATGAATCAAACATATCAGAAGGATCATTTATGCAGACCAAGTGAGATTTATCCCTGGTATGTAGGGATGCTTCAACATTCACAAATCAGTCAATGTGAAACACCACATTAACAAACTGAAGAACAAAAACCATATGATTATCTCAATAGATGCAAAAAAAAGCATTTGATAAAATACAACATCCTTTCATGATGAAAATTTTGTAAATTGGGTATAGAAGGAACATTCCTCAACACAACAAAGGCAATTTATGACAAACACACAGCCAGCATTCTATTGAATGGGGAAAAGTTGGAAGCACTCCCACTAAGATCTGGAAGCAGACAAGGATGCTCACTCTCACCATTAGTATTCACCTGGCTCCTGGCTTTCAGATCGGTGCAGCATGCCAGCTGTAGTGGCCATTTGGGGAGTGAACCAACAGAAAAAGAAGACCTTTCTCTCTGTCTCTCACTGTCTAACTCTGCCTGTCGATAATAATAATAATAATAATAATAATAAAGGAGATAATATCAATCCCTGGAGCAAAGACAGTCTCTTCAACAAATGGTTCTGGGAAAACTAGATCTCCATAAGCAGAAGTATGAAACAAGATCCCTACCTTACACCTTACACAAAAATCCTCTCAGAGTGGATCAAAAACCTAAATCTATGACCCAATATTAAGAAATTATTAGAAAATACTTTGTAAGACATCTTCATAGGAAAAAGAGTTCTTGGAAAAGACCCCCACAGGTACAGGCAATCAAAGCCAAATTGACAAATGAAATTACATCAAATTGAGAAGCTTCTGCACTGCAAAAGAAACACTCAGCAAAATGAAGAGGCAACCGACAGAATGGGAGAAATTATTTGTAAATTAAGCAACTGATAAAGGACTAATAACCACAATATATAAAGAGATCAAGAAACTAAAAAACAAAACAAACAATGCAGCTAAGAAATGGGCAAAGGACTTCAACAGGCATTTTTCAAAAGAGGAAATACAAATGGCTAACAGAAACATGAAAAAATGTTCAGGATCACTATTCATCAGAGAAATGCAAATCATAACCACAATGAGGATTCACCTCACCCCCACTTAGAATAGCTTTCATACAGAAAACAAACAACAAATGCTGGTAAGAATGTGGGGGAAAAGGTACCCTAACCCACTGTTGGTGTGAGTGTAAACTGGTATAGCCACTGAGGAAGACAGTTTGGAGATACCTCAGAAATCTGAATATAGACCTACCATATGACCAAGCCATCCCAATCCTGGGAATTTAATCAAGAGAAAGTAAATCAGCATATGAAAGAGTTATCTGTACCCCCATATTTATTGTAGCTCAATTCACAATAGCTAAGATATGGAATGAACCCAAATGTTTATCAACTGAAGACTGGATAAATAAATTATGGGATATGTACACCATGGAATATACACAATGATAAAACAAAGAAAAGGAAATCCTATTGTTTGCAACAAAATGGATGCAACTGGAAACCATTATACTTAGTGAAATAAGCCAGGGACCAGCATTGTATCATAGGGGATGAGGCCACTATCTGCAGTGCCAGCATCCCATATGGGCACTGGTTTAGATCCCAGCTGCTCCACTTCCAATTCAGCTCTCTGCTATGGCCTGGGAAGGCGATAGAGGATCGCACAGGTCCTTGGTCCCCTATACGCATGTGGAAAATCCAGAAGAAGCTTCCTGCTCCTGGCATCACATTGGATCACCCATCTGGGGAGTGATCCAGTGGATGGATGACCTCCCTCTCCCTCTTCCTCTCCCTCTCCCTCTCCCTCTGCCTCTGCCTCTGCCTCTGCCTCTGCCTCTCCCTCTCCCTCTGCCTCTCTGTAGCTCTGCCTTTCAAATAAATAAATAAAATTCAAAATTTTAAAAATTAGCCAGTCCCAAAAGGACAAATACCATTTGTTCTCCCTAATCTGTGGTAACTAATAAAGCACCTAAAAGGTAATCTATAGAAGTGAAATTGACACTTTTAAACACAATGACTTTGAACAGCCCTTGTCTTAATCGTTAATGAACAGGTTTTTTTTTTCCTACTATTTGTTGCACTCTTTACTTAGTATAATCTTCTGTGTATAAACTTGATTTAAAAATAGTTCTTAGTATAAAATAAGAATGGGAATAGGAGAGGGAGGAGGGGTAGGAGTGTGGGTTGGAGGGCAGGTAGGATGAGAAGAATCACTATATTCCTAAAGTTGGATTTATGAAATGAATAAAGTTTGTATATCATAAATAAAAGCTTTCTGGGGGGAAGAAGAATAAAAACTTCTCCCTTGAAAATAAAAACAATAAACTCTTTATATAATAAGGAATATATGAATTAAATCTTATCAAAGTTATAAAAGTCATAAATTAAAATGGACCTTAATGAAATTCCTGATGATGTTTGCTTTAGCCAAATAACCAGATGCAATATATGTACATTACCAGCTATTAGAATATAGTTTCTCTTAAGTTCATTATAATGATAAAATTACTTTGTATAATGACTTAGTTTTACCCAATATTTTATGAGATGCCTATTAGTCTTACAAAGGAGATCATTGGCAGGTGACTAGAGAGATGGATTTAGCATTTGGGAAAATGATTGAATGGAGTCATCAAGTTTATGGCTACATATAATTTCATGATATTGTATGAGATCATGGGAGAAATGAGAGTAGTCGGGGAAGAATGGGATCTCATAGCCAGAGAATCGTGATGGGACTCACGATAAAATGATGATGCAAACCCTCCACTGAAAGAACAAGAAATGCCCCAGTGTATCACTTGTTTATGGGTTTATCCCTATCTTTGGCTCAGATGAACAGTTTGTAAAGTGTATGCCACTGGAACAAGAGGCCACAGAATAGTCTCTGTGGGTGATAGTGGGAAATGCAGAGAACAGAGGGGAAATTGTGGAAGGTACTTCAGCTCTCAACAGTGCTTCAACTATGCAGGAATCTAATTGCTCTAACATATTAAGGAAGGGAAAAAGTTTCACATAAAGAGCTGATTTTACTGCTAGAAAAAAAACAATGAAAAGTTATCTTTATGTCACGAAGCAGAGACAAACTTTTGTTATCTTGTATAAAGAGAAGTGAACTGTAAGGACACAGGTGTCTAGAAGGCTAAAACCTTGAAGTATGGCAAGATGTGTACACCACTGTTCTGGTGTTACCTTAATTTACTTACTTGCCAATTACATGCTTCACTATACCTGTTCATGCAGCTAGCAACACATCTGCAATCTATTCTCCTGGTGATGTCTGCCCCTCAGAACTTTGTCTTATGATCATCTCACATCACTCTGTCTCATACCATCTTTCAGCTCTGGCCCTCCTTTTTAACCACTGCATATTTCCCCATTTCACAATTCAAATTCCCAATAGAGGCAACAAGATAGGCCCTGAGAACATTTCCTTACCAGGTGTTGCTTATGCTCCTGGTGCCCTCCTGGGTCCAGTTGCGAAATGAAGGGCAAGAGTTCCATTGTATGGTCTGATTGCTCAAATATGGCAGTGGACAGGCAAGACTGACAGAAGAAGGACCATCATTTGTTAGTCCTAGGACTGACATCTGTTGCAAAACAATGAACATGATTTATTTTTTAACTTTTATTTAATAAATATAAATTTCCAAAGTACAGCTTATGGATTACAATGGCTTCCCCCCCATAACTTCCCTCCCACCCGCAACCCTCCCCTTTCCCGCTCCCTCTCCTCTTCCATTCACATCAAGATTCATTTTCAATTCTCTTTATATACAGAAGATCAGTTTAGTATATATTAAGTAAAGATTTCAACAGTTTGCACCCACATAGAAACACAAAGTGAAAAATACTGTTTGAGTACTAGTTATAGCATTAAATCACAATGTACAGCACATTAAGGACAGAGATCCTACATGAGGAGTAAGTGCACAGTGACTCCTGTTGTTGACTTAACAAATTGACACTCTTGTTTATGGCATCAGTAATCACCCTAGGCTCTTGTCATGAGTTGCCAAGGCTATGGAAGCCTTTTGAGTTCACCGACTCTGATCATATTTAGACAAGGTCATAGTCAAAGTGGACATTCTCTCCTCTCTTCAGAAAAAGGTACCTCCTTCTTTGATGATCTTACATGATTTATTCTACATATGTTTTTAATGAGAAAGAAAATGAAAATCTGTATTTTAAATAAATTACCAAGGGGCTGGCATTGTGGTATAGCAGATAAAGCCACCACCTACAATGCCAGCATCCCTTATGGGCACTGGCTCAAGTCCCTCCTGCTTTACTTGTGATCCAGCTTCCTGCTAATATGCCTGGGAAAGCAGCAGAGGATGGGCCAAATGTTAGGTCCTGTACCCATGTGGGAGACTCAGAACCTCCTGGCTTAGATCTAGCCCAGCCCTGGCAGTGCAGCCAGTTGGGAAGTGAGTCAGCAGATGGGTGATCTCTGTCTCTCCTCTCTCTGTAACTCTGCCTTTGAAATAAATAAAATAAATCTTTTTTAAAATGTTTAAAAAATAATATACTGAAAGACAATGAATACTCATGGCACAGCATCAGAGAATAGCTGTTACAATAGCTACCAGCAAAATATACTAATTTTATCCAAATAATACCTAACCTCAGCGATGTTTATGAGTGTCATACTGAACTATAATTTGATGCAATTTATAAAAAACAATGTAGTGTCTGAGCAACCTCCTGACGAGTCCTGACACATTTTCTATTCAACTGGAGGAGACCCAAGTACTTCAGGTCTCAGTGATATTGGATCACTAAGTCACAGTCAAATAACCAGAGAAATCACAGCTGCCAAAAATGTGAAGTTTATATAGTGCATCCATTTCACAAAAACACTTCATATTCATTCCTTTTCTTAAGACTGGTTGAGGACAAACAAAAATAAGTCAACGTTTTAGCCATGGTAAAAATCAATTTCTAACAAGGCCAAATCCTCTCATTTAGAATTGCCGGCTGAGGAATCAAATATGGGAGCTTTTAACTTAGATTTTAAAAGCACAAAAGTTTATGTCTTCCAGAACCTTTAAAGATGTCCTAATGCATGTGTGCTGCAAAAGCACTTTCAGAAGAGGGCAAGATTTTTAAAATATTTCAACCTAAAAGTGAATCAATTTGAGGTTGTGTTTCCATTAAGAATCTATTTTGCATGAACGGTCATTAAATCCATCAAATGTAAAGTGGAGGGTGCCAGAGCCTCTACAAAATAAGAAATCTTCTCTAGCAGGTGAGGGCTCCATATTTAATGAAGGCCAGATTATTTCAATTCTGTGTGGATTTGATGTCACTCTCTTTCCTTACAGAATTAGGTCGTATTTATTAGTCATTGAATTCTGTGTACACGTTCAATAAGAAAGTTCTATCCTACTTAACATATATTTGTTCTAGCCACATGAAGGTTTGATGTATAGAATTTGGCATAATTAGCCACGAGCCTGAAAAGGGATGTAAGTAAATCAGAAGGAAAATTCAGTTTCTTTTTCTTGTGCTTGGAGAAGCTGTAGCTTGGACAAAGTGTCCATCAGCTTTTGGTAAGTGATGTCAGACTAGCAAGTGTGACTACTGATACTCATTTCACATCATACCAGCACATCACTACATCCATTTCATTATATTTTTACAAGTTTAGTAAGACATTTAATTTTTTAGTTGAAATTTATTCACTTACTTTACAATTAGACAAGGAGAGGGGAAGGCAACACACACACACACACACACACACACAGGATCTCACTTGCTGCTTCGTTCCCCAGATGCCTACAACATCTAAAGCTGGGCTGAAGGTGGGAGCCAGGAATTCAATTCAATTCTGTTCTTCCATGCGGATGGCAGGAACCCAATCATTTGAATCATAATCACTGCTCCCCAGGGTCTACACGGGCAGAAAGCTGGAATCAGGAACCAGAGGCCGGCATAGAACCTAGGTACTCTGATATTCAGACGTCTTAACCACTAGGCTAAAAACACCTGCCACAATGAAGTATGGCCTAACTATTCAAAGAAATAGTGGCACAGTCCCTATACTTGAGAGCAAATCATGTACATATGTTGATGTTTGTGGTTCACATTAAAAATTCATATATGGAGATAACATGAAGTGTTATAATATCTGGTGATTGAAAAATGAAACAACACCACATTATCTCCCAAATATTTTCAACTTTGAGCTCTGAAAATAAATTTAACAGCTTAGATGGAGTCACAACGGGATGTTACCACAAGGTATATAAGAGGAAATATTGATTCTGGAGAATACAAAGATAGTGTCATCATCTCTCCAAAAGTGTATTTGTCTGCTATTGCCACAAACCAACGGGAAGCATTGTATCTTCAAGTTGAAAAGAATGGTACAGATTTTCATTATCAATTTCCATATTTTACCAATGGAGAAAATATATTCAGAACCTTAAATAATTTTCTCAGTGTCCAATAAGTGATTAGTAGAACCACATGGAAATCGTTGTATGATCATCTAAATGGAATTTAAAATCTAGATTGGCTGTGTTGATAACTCAGTAAGCATTTTTCAAAAAGGTGAGAATAACCATGAAAGATCTCTGCAAAAGATACTGCTTCTTCCTGGTGAATGGGTATCAACTGGTAGGAGAAAAAAGTGCTCTAGGATGCTGCTTCAAAAATTCTTGGAAAGTGGGATGAAAAGGTAAGCTGTGGCACAGCAGGTTAAGTTGCCACCTAGGATCCCCACAGCCCATATCAGAGTGTTGGTTCAAGTTCCATCTACTCTGCTTCCTATGCATCTTCCCACTCACGTGCCTGGGAAAGTAGCAGAAGATGACACAAGTACTTGGGCCCCTGTCACCCATGTCAGAAACCCGAATGATGTCTGAGACTCCTGGCTTTGTCCTGACCTTACCCCATCTCTGTTGTGGGCATTTGGAGAGTGAATCCATTTGGAAGATCTGTCTTCTCTGTCTCGGCCTCTCTCTGTATGTCCCTTGGTTTTTCAAATAAATAAAAATAAATCTCTTTTTTTAAATAAGTTTACTCTGGTGCAAAATTTTTTTGAAATCTATGCACAGTTTTCCATAATATGTACTTTCCTTGAGCTTTTTAAAGACCCCATGTATGTATGGATAGAAAAAAAAAAATGTTCACACCAAAATAAACAACTTGTAATACCATTTTCCATGAACCTTCTGAAGTCCCCTCAAACATTCTTCCCCTTTAAAAAATAATTTAATTACTTTATAATGCTTTTTAAGGAATTTATTAATACATCACATTCTCAGGGTCATAGCAAATGCATTATAATTGCTACAACTCAATTTTCATCAATTCTCATGTTAATGTGATATCAATACAAAGAAAACATATTCAGTGTACTTCACAGATACAATTCTAAGAATATAATGATGCTTCCTTTCTTCTATCCGTCTTTCCTCATCTCTTATTATTTTTTTCTTTTGTAGTTATTGAGATAAAAGAATTTTAATTTACATTATAGTAAAAGACTTAATGCTGCATTAAATAAAGAGTTCACCAAGTAAAAAGTAAAAAGACTCTACTTCAGGGAATATAGGCAAGGGCTATAAATAATAATCATATGAAAAGATGACTATTTTGTCCACATACAGTAATATTTTATAATAGTCACAGAGCATTAAAATTATAGTAGTACAACATTTTTCACTCTTGGTTTGATAAAGATATAAAACAAAGCTTGACAATAATATATTTTCAGTAATACTGATACACACAGGCATTTGTCTTTCTTTGTTTTTGTATTTTGATTTATTTTTCCTTCTAAATTTTACCTTTCACATATAAAGGAGAAGATGTATTTGTCTTCCTGCTGTGGCTGGCTTATTTCACTCAACATGAGGTCCTCCAGTTGCATGTATTTTGATGCAAATGGTAGCATGAATGATATCTCCCTGTTTGTATATATACATATTTTATATATATATATATACACATTCTTTATTCATTCATCCAATGATGGATACCTTGATTGATTCTGTATTTTGGCTGTGAACAGTGCTGCTATATGCATGGTGGTACAGGTATCTCTTTGATACATATTCATGTCTTTTGGGTTTACAACCAGGAGTAGGGTTGCTGGATCATATGGTAAGTCTTTGAGTTTTTTTTTTTTTTAAAGAAATATACATACTGTTTCCCTCAGTGGCTGCACCAATATGCATTCCCATCAGGAGAGTATGAGTTTCCAAATTCCTTTATTCACATCCTCACCAGCATTTGTTACAGTCTTTTGTATAATAAGCATTCTGACAGGTGATATCTCATTGTGGTTTGGATTTGCATTTCTGTGATGGCTAGGGATATTGATCATTTTTTCATCTATTTTTTGGCCATTTGTATTTGTTCTTTTGAGAACTTTCTATTGAGGTTCTTTGCCTATTTTTATTTTTTTGTTGTTGAGTTTTTTGAGTTGCTGATGTATTCAGGATATTAATCCTTTGTTAGGTAGCTTGCAAATATTTTTCCCATTCTGTGGATCTCTCTTCACTCTAATGACTGTTTACTATGCTATTCAGAAACTTCTGAGTTTTTTATAATCTCATTTGTCTAGTTTTGCTTTTGA